TTAGTGCTCTTCTTCTTATGGTAAATGCACCACAGAAAGGGTGTCTATTCAGCAGCTATTTATTGAGTCTGTGATCAGGCCTGTGAACAGTAACCTCAAGCCATACTTTCTTTTCTCTGGGACATTTGCCTCTGTGGGGCTTCCCAGTCGTTTTGCTCGTGTGTCTAACACTGGACCCTGTGACCATATAAACCAGGGACCATGGTGCAAAGGCCAGCAACGGTAAGAGTCAGGGTAAAGGTCACCCCACATAGAAACAGATATGGATCTTTGGAAACCAGTGTTCATGAAGAACCTATTAAGTGTAAACGGCTACTACATATTGATGGAAGAAAAAAATAATACTGCCTGAAATAACTAGTAAGCAGAGAGAGAAGCGGCAACATTCAGCCATTTTAACGACAGAGCTGTCTCTGATGGCATGGAGCTTCGGGACCTGTGGTGGAACTTCAGAGGAAATCTGCCAGGACTGGCAAGGGAAGCCTTTGTGAGAAGAGATTGAGTGGGACCCTGAAGGCCTACTGTGCATTAGATAAGCAAAAAGAAGAGGGAGATCATTCCAGAGAAATGGGACGATAGCAACAAAAACTTGAGAGAAGAAAGACAAGCCCGTGATGCTGTAAAATCAATGATGTGACTGGAAATAAAAAGCAAAGCAAAACAACAAGCAAACAAACAAACAAAAACCCAAAAGCCCACAGGGAGGGTAGGGGAAATGGCATGAAAGTGGACAGCCTCCCAGAGCTTGCCTTCTTACCAGAACCAACATCTACAGCCACCATTTGCTCTGTATTTACAACCATTAGGCCGCTTGCCTGAGAGAGGATGTCCCACAGTCCTCCAATCCCTGGGCCAAGTGGAGGTGGGTTAGTATTGGAAGAACAACGACTCAGCCAAGTGACAGAAAAGCCAAACAGGAGGCACAGACGACAGAGGAAGACAGGAACACGCTTCCAACCTGTCTTATTGCTTACACATAAAAAGATGGGGGCAGAGAGACAGCTGCATCCAGGAAAACTGTCTGTGGGGGGAGCATTAGCACATCACTGAAATCCTGATCCAGCTCAGGCTAATTGCCCTACTTTGTGATATTATGATTAGCCTATAATTAAGATTGCCACAGGCTAGACCAGTTGGTGGTGGTGCATGTTTGTTTTCCCCTAGGGACAGAGACACATTCGGCTCTAATTTTCCATGGCATGGTTATTTACATGTTTTTATTCCTCTATGATCAGTTGTCTAATTTCTAAGGCTTGATAAACTAGGGAGTCTCTAAATAAAATGTCCTGGTTCTTTAAAACACCCAGACCACACTCCGTCTCAGCAGCACAGGACATTGGCTTCAGCAGCTGAGTGCCACGTGTCTGGGGACCAGTTGGTCAGTTTCAGTGAGTATATTTGCTTTGGAAACTTTTCACCTTTTGTCCACCTCAACACTAAAGGCTCTGCTGATTCCCTATGCCAATTTCCACATAAAGCTGAAAAGGCCCCTGAGGCAGTTTTATTTTTTTATTTTTTTGTTTTTTGTTTTTTAAGGAAACAGCATTATCTGCAATGGGAATATGTGACAGTAGGATTTGGGAGACTGGTTCACAGCCCCATTTGAGGTCCTGGGAGCCACACGGAGGTGAGAGGTAACGCAGAGCTGCCTCCAGCATGCCCACTTACCAGCTTACTTTTGACCAACTTTTCTATTGCACTGACAAGGTCTGCAGCAGTAGGCACATCAGTGGGAGCCTGCCGGGCTGCTAGCAAAGAGGACTGCAAGACACGGACAGCAAAGGAAAAGCGGATTAGCGAGAGGTGAGGAACACAGTTAGGAAGCAAACCACACACTCCAGAGCTCCAGGCTAGGAAAGCACAGTGTTCAGAGGACAGAGACAACAGAGGTAGATGGGGTGGTTAGTGGCGGAGAGGTAGGCCTGCATATCCCTTGTGAGGGATTCTGGTCAGTGACAAAATACAGATGGGCCTGGTTTTCCTTAGAGGCTGATGGGAGGGGTCATTGAATCCCCAGGAAACCCACAGGCAAGGGCTATGCTTACTGATAGCCGAGCAGGGGGAGCTGCTCTGAGGGAGATCAGGACTTCAGCCTTTGTGGTAGCCCGCTGCTGTTCCATGGTCTAGAAGGTACGAGCAATTCCAGGCTCAAATGTGGGTGAAGGAGATAAAGTCCTGCCTTGCTACAGCCTTAGCTCTGGGTCGACACTGTGTTGAGCAATTGTGACACCTCTACCCCATCTTCTCCCTCCCTTCCCTTCTCAGTCCTACCTCCCACCACACACACGTACTCCCCCAACCCCCCACCCCCACCCCGGGCACTGGGAAAGCTCCCAAAAGACTTGTGTGTCACATGCTGGGACTCTCAGAGGCTGCTCACAGCAAACAGAGACTCAACTACAGGTCTCTCTGTGTACTTCCCCTGGACCAGCGGCAAGGCTTTGTGTAGTGGCTGTTTGCATAATGGCTGGGTATTCTTGCCCCACAATGAAGGAGCCTTTGGTTATTAGTCTACTTGCTTTTTCCTTCTTCCATCCTCCCGAGATAAAGCTAGGGGAGAGATGGCCAGCTCTGTATCTACATGTGTGCTTCTAGTCCAGTGCATCAGGAGAGGGAGGAAAGGGGAGAGGGGAGAGATGGGAGGGCAGAGGGCACAGAGTAGACAGCAGTGGTGTTCCCAGGCTGAGACACGAGGAGAATTACTTATAAGCATAGAAAGAGCAATGTCCTGGCCTTGGCCGGGATTCAGTTTCTCCCTTTAGGTTAGAGAAGAGTTTCAAAAAGAACTTTTGCGTTTTTGCTTTCAAGATTGAGGGACATCAAATAAATGCAATTAGGAAAGATAGAGCAATACTGTCTTTCCTCTTTGGGGAGAATGCAGAAAAAATGTCTTGGTTTGAAAAATCAAGTTGCCATCTCTGATTGGATAATTTTACTTCTGGTAACTCATTCAAGAGTCAGATGTCCAAAGAACAGGAGCTGGATCTACACAATAATCTTCAGGGGTATTACTCAGAGGTGCAAGGACCGGAAACACCTAAGGCTGTCCCACAAAGGTCTGCTCATGACAATTATGGAGCATACAGGTCAGTAAAATATCCTCCGGTTACTGAATTAAGGTTGAACAGGTAACACTAATAAGATTCTGTAAACTGGGAGTAGATAAAGCATTGACCGACATATACACTGTGGAAGTGGGAAACATCCAGGAACGTGAACAAAGGACACAAGACACGGGGAACAAAAGAGTCTTTGTTGAACCTTAAAAGATTGAGCTTCCAGTTAATGGTCCTTCCAGGGCTGGCGGGGCACACCTGGGGTTTTAACATTCAGTAGGCAGAGGCAAAAGGACTGCATCAAGTTCAGGGCCAGCCTGGTCTATGAAATAAGTTTCAGGCTAGCCAAGGCTAGTGAGACTCTGTCTCCTCAAATCAAAAATTTAACTCTACTTGCTAGGAGTGCTAAGTAGGACTTATTCCAATTCCAAATATTTCAACAAAAAACAAGTGGACAGAAATCACACAAGCCAGCGTGGGGAGAGCTAACATGTCTAAAATGGGATTACTGCCATGCACTAGGTACAACAAAGAAAAGAACCACATAGATGCCTGGGTAAGTCTGTATTCTCAGTTAAAAATTATCCAGGAACAGCCTAACATCCATTCGCCCCCAACAGACTGTGTGAGGGGAGAAAGGTGAAGAGGAAGCATCTCTGCCTCTGGGATAATCTCTTTGGGTACAATGTCATACTTCTCAATGTTGTTTTCTTTCTCAATGGCCCAGAGTCAACTTGGCCTAGAGACTAGGGTCCAAACATCTCTGTAGAAAGGGACACAACTGTAGGGTAAGCACCATGGAAGGCACAGGGAAGAACACAGTGAGAGCCAGAGACAGCCAGGTGAGCTACCACTACCGCCACAAAACGACACTCGGAAGATAACAGCAAGTGCAGTTGAAAGCTGCAACTTCCGCTTCAGTGACCAGTGTCAAGCTACTATATAAGAAGGCAGGAAAAAGCCGATGGATCCCAGGCACAGCTGTGAGGGAAGCAAGGAGAAACAACACAACAGCTCCAGTCCAGCATGGTGGGTGGCACAGGCCTTTAATGCCAGCGTTAGGGAGGCAGAGACAAGTGGATCTCTGCAAAACTGGGGCCAGTCTGAGCTACATAATGAGCTTCTGGCTGGTCAAGGCTACATAGTATCAAAAGAAACAAAGCAACCCCACAGCCGGGCGGTGGTGGCGCACGCCTTTAATCCCAGCACTTGGGAGGCAGAGGCAGGCGGATTTCTGAGTTCGAGAGTTCGAGGCTAGCCTGGTCTACAGAGTGAGTTCCAGGATAGCCAGGACTACACAGAGAAACCCTGTCTCGAAAAACCAAAAAAAAATAAACAAAACAAAGCAACCCCACATTGTGGGTCAGTGCCTGGGAGTCAAGACCTCAGGAGGCAAGGCACCACTTGAAAACAAGTAGAAAGAGCTGACCACTGGGGCATTAGTGGAAGAGGGGACATGGACCTTTCCAACCAGCGAGCAGAACATTTCACAAAACAAAAGGCTGTGGCAATTCGACATGCTTTGCTTTTCCATAATTGACAACAACCCTCCATGAGCATCTCTACTTCACATTCGGAGATGGCTGAGTTTTATCAGCACTGGCTGAAGAAGTGACTGTGGTTAGACTTTTAGGGCTGAATGCAGAAGACAACTAAAACACAGGTTGTGCATCAGGCATTCCGCAGCAATTGCCACCTGGGGCCTCACAGATTCCTTTTAGGACTGCTGCCTGCAAATACAGAACCACGGGACCCTTTGTGCGTTCCCAGGTGGATTTCTACTTTAACTGGTCTTTGCATGTCCCTGCACTTCCCAGAACAAGGCCAAGCCTCCATGATCATGGGGGAGGACACCTGCTCACTGACACCCGTGTCACCGAGGGGAGGGCAGCACTGATTCCTGCCTCACATCCTCAGGAAGAGGAATCTCAGCAGAGCTCCTACCATCTCATCCTGGGTGGGGTCGTTGTCAAAGATCTTCATGGGCGGTGGGAGGGGGGTGTGTGACTCTTCATCTGGCTCATCTTCACCCCAACCCTTCTTGCTCTTCTAGAACAAAAGGACACCAATCAGGCACTGCCACATCAATAAAAGATGCAAATAAGTCAGGACTTGACATTTAAAAGAATAATTCTTAAGGAGAACTACTCAGGAAGGGGGAAATTGAAAGTTTTTTTTAAAACTAAGTTTCTCCTCCCTTTCCAACCCCCACTCCTTCTTCCCCCTCTTCTCCTCACCCCCCTGAGCTCCCCCTGCAGCCCCCACTCCCTCCAGGTCCAGACTGGCCTTGAACTCATGATTCCTATGTCTGCCTTTTGGGTGCTGGAATTACAGGAAAGTATGTGTCACTACACCACACTTAACTTCAAATTTTTCTGAAGGGCTATTAAACTACCATCCAAATCTCACCAGGGTTTTATGCCATCTCTAACTTGAGAAATGACAGATGGAACAAAATTACAAGGCAGAGTCTGGTTCTGCATCAGAAAGATTGGAGTAGGCTAGTTATGCAGATAAAACGGGCATTTTATTCCCCAAGCCAAAACACACTCCCTATAGTTTTATTATAGAATCTCAGCTCTTCAAGAACCCAGCCTAACTTCTTGGCTCAAACCCAGTTTTCTGTGACTAATGTGAGATCAGAAGGTCTCATTTCATCGTCATCAGCTGCCTCTAAAGTGCCTCAGTGAGCTGAGTGCTGCCCACTGTGGCCTTCATGTAATCGTCATAGCTAGCCCTCTGCAGCTCCTTTATTTACCTCCTGAGTGCTGGGACCAAAGGAGGCCACTACCACTGCCTGCCACTGGCAGCACGCTTTACAGGTGACACTGCTCAAAACACTTGACTTCAGCTCTGCCTCTGGTTTTCAGAGTGACACAGTCTCTGGCCTTGCATTCTTACTCTGTGTCTGGCCAGTTTTGATGTCAGTCATCCTCAGTAGACACAGGAGACTGACTGCCTCCTCTCTGGCCAGAGATTCCTATCTCTGAATCTGGAGAATCTTTGTTCCTGTCTACTTGATGGTCATAGTGCTTATCAGTCTGTGAATGGGGCACACAGATCAAGGTAGTCAAGGCTCAAGAACGGGAAATTCAAGTACATAGTACTAGAGGTGGTAGATCTGCTTATTACATGACTAGGAGGGAAGCATGTCAGGGGTCTCTTGTGGCAGAAGAGAGCGGGCCCTTGTAAGTACCTCATCAGCACTGTCTCCCTGAGGGGTCGTCTCATCCCCAGGCTTGGGTGATCCCAGGTCGAAGCTCTTCCGCCCATCTCTGACTTTCTTCTGCTTTTTGATGTTTCCATCTGCTTTTCCGCTGTTGAGGCGGCGCACAGGGCTGGTCAGCCACTTTTTGAGGGTGTTGGTGGAGCGTTTGGGACCGGGGGAACTGTGGATGGAGTTCAGGGAGGGCTGAGACTGCAGGTTGGCCACGGACTCGGATTTGCCCCCATTCTCACTGGAGGAATGAGAGTATGAATCTGAGGAAGAAGGACAAACAGAAACATCATGTCAGAACCTGTTAAAGTAGGCTTTGAACTGATGAGTAAGACAACAGCTCCCTCAGGGAGCTTTGTCATAAGGTAAAAGTACGACAAGGCCAGCAGTGGACGCAGGTAAGAGACAGCAGTAACAGTTGACATTGATTCAAATGTTTACATTCGAGATGCCATTCCAGGATTTATAGAAACAGAAACTCACAGGAGACAAAGGCTCCTGTATCCATGGAGGTTATATTCTGATGGAAAATACAATAGACCATGATAACAACAAAATAGGTAAAGTATCATATATAATGAGAAGCGCTATATTAAAAAATAAGCTTGGGCTGGGCTGTGGTGGGGCACACCTTTAATCCCAGCATTTGGGCAGGAGGCAGAGGCAGGTGGATCTCTGAGAATTTGAGGCCAGCCTGGTCTACAGAGTGAGTTTCAAGATAGCCAGGGCTATAGAAAGAAACCTTGTCTCAAAAAAAATCTAATGATGATGGTGACAGTGATGGTGATGAAGGGAAACGAAGTGGGGAATAGAGGGTGCAAATTAACAGTAGCTGAGGCAAAACAACATGACTCGGTATCTGAGCATAGTCCTAATGGCGATGAGAGACAAGCCATGTGGCTGTTTGACAAAGGGCAATGCAGGCAAGCAGAAGATGAACAAGTACAGTTGTTTTGGGGTATGCTGGGCAGCATCAGTGCAACGAGCAAGGGGAATGGAGTGGGGGTTAGTAAAAGCAAAAGGAACTGGACCACCAGGACCGGGCGGCCAACTATATGATGCCTTTGTTTTTACCTATAGGGAAAAAAAATCTCAGAAGATGGATACCATCTATCATACATACTAAAACGTCATTCTTACTTGTAATTGACGACAGTGGAAACAGACTGCCTAGGAGGCCACCATATTCTTTCAGCTGAGGGATGCTGGTGGCCATCAGAAAGAATCAGACTCTGGATATGTTTTGACAGTAGGACAAAGGATAAAGTTTCTGAGGCAGACAGAGTATGGGAAGAGCGATTTGGAGGGTCGACAGAAGGGAGGCCAGTTTCAGGCATCTTCAAGATGCTCTTAGATGGATACTAGCAGACAAGCTGGACAGCTGCTGGACTTCAAGGCTGGAGCCTGGGAAGAAAGTGCTGGTGAGCTGGCGGTGACTGAGGGTTGTCAGTGAAGAGATGGTGCTGGAAGCCATGGATGAAAACACCAAGGGGCATGGATGTGGGGGACAGAGAAGTCTGGACGCTCAGCAAGAGGCAGGGAGGATGAGAAAGCAAAGAAAATGTCAGAGAGGCAGGGGGAGATGAGAGCAGGAGCCGGCCAGGAGGCTGCATGCAGCAAAGCATGGAGGAGGGAGATGTCAGCTGCGTCAGCTGCTCCTTGATAGGTCAAGAGTACTGACCAAAGAAACCTTAAACTTGGTTACACAGACGTCACCGGTGACTTTGCAGAAAAGCAGCTGTGGTGTGATGGAGGGGCGTGCTCATCACACAGGACGGAGAGAGGAAGGGACAGAGTGCACAGAGGACTTCCGTTTTGTTTTAAAGGGATGATGATTGGAGATCGAGAGAGTTTGTTTTGTTCTTTCAAATAGGAGAAATCAGCATATTGTCTGTACAATAGCCTAAATGTTTCACAGGGATCATTCTCCGACAACACAACAGCTCATGGGTGGAGGGTTGTCTTATTATCTTCATTTTAGGGAAGAGGAAACTGTCCATTTAGGGACATCAATCAGTTTGCCCAAGGACATACAGCTCCTAGGGATGGGGTGAGATCTGTTGGCCATTCATCTAGACTTGAGCAATAAACCAGCTACTGGCCCTTCACACCTGTCCATGCCCAGTACTTTGGTTCCCACTGATGACTGGCAAAGCAAACCCAAGGAAGCCGCACCGTTGGAGTGGGACAGCCAGAGAAAGCACAGCACAGGAGAAACATGGACGATGACCCTTATTTAACTGATATCTGAATACTCGCTAATCTTTGAGGAGACCAGCATTACATGTACAGAGTTTAGCCTCTAGAATACCTGACTGATCTAAAGACAAGATTTTAAAGTCTGCTTCAGGTGCTGTCCTAGCTCCAACTGCTCGGTGATGGTGTGTTTGGTTCCACTCATGCTGAGAAAACTAGGGTCCCCAGACTTCTAGAAGTTGCACAGCAACACCCAAGTCAAGTACCAAGCAAGACTCACTAAGCAGTAACAACACCACAGACAGTGTAGTAGAGTGAGTTCTAAAAATATGAGATCCAAGCTCCATTTCCGCTGACCTCTTGCCTAGCTATACACACATCCACATGCACAACAGCAGAGAGAAGTCGGGAGGGAGAGAAAAGGACAGAACAGCAAGACAGAGCATAGGAGAGAAAGAGTTTCTCACAGAGCCACGTGTGATTAATTGCCAGCAGGCTGGTATGGACAGACCTTCCTGATGAGTGAGCAGAGTTCAGAGGAGGGTCATAACTGTGTAGGAGAGACTGGCCTGGAAAAGTTTAAGGGAAGAGATGTTTGGGGGGTGGGGGAGGGCTGCTTCTAAAGGGTAGGATAACAAGACCAAACACAGAGGCAGGGGAATGGAAGGTAAGTTATCCAGTTCAAGGTAGGTCCTTTCCAGCGAGTAAGATCAGTGGGGTAGAAGGCAGAAGAGAACATTTGGGAAGATATTAGATAATAGGCTGGAATGTGAACTTTGAGATTCTGGTGGGAAACAACATGACAGAAAAAGGGTCGTTTTTTGTTTGTTTTGGTTTTGTTGTTTTCCAAATTAATCTGGCAACTCTATACAACTATCTTGGGAAGAAGGGATTGGAATCCAGTAGGTTCCAGGCTACAGAATATGATACCATTAGTGTTTGGAAGACAAATTAAAGGTGAGCGTGTCATGAATGCTCTTAACTACCATGGTCCCGAGAAAGCTGATCTCCACCCCAGCCCCAGTTTGCAAACTGGTATTTAAACCAAGTAAATGGCTGGGTACCTAAATGGTGTTTCGGTGGCTTTTCATACCTATGGGAGACGGAATCGCATTTTCCTGTATGATTCTGTCCTAGATTTGGACAAGAGATGTCACCTAGCCTTTGAAACTCTCAGAGCAGGAAAGGAAATCCTGAAATGAAGTAAACAAATGCATTTGCCGAGAGAGAGCTGTCTCCAGAATCTCCTGGGGGGCTGATAACCTTGAGCTCCATGCTCGGGCTCACTGGGCCTTGACCCTGCTGGGGCACTTCTCAGGGGCTGTTAGGGCCCTGTGCATACTTTGGAAAGCAACAGCAGAATGTCTGTGTTTAGAAGCACAAACACAGAGCTCCTAAAATTCCCTGGTATGAAGACAACCTCCAGGGCTGCTCTGCTCAGGGACCATCTGGGGATTCACTGGCATCTCTTTAAGGACAAAGGTGTAATCTTATCTCAGAAAATTCCTCTCTGGCTGTGGTCTGGTGTGTTGACATTATTTCTCGAGTGTTTGGTATGGGTGATAAGCATCTGCAGTAGCACTGATAGAAACAGGGCCTCCCTGCAGATAAGTAGCAGGCTCTCATTCACTAGGCCCAGATTTACAGCATATGCTGTGTCAGCAAAGCAACACTCTCAACCGAGTTGACTGTGGCTCAGTTACCGATCAAGCAGATGATGTTCCAGGGTAAACCATGGCCTGGCTTTGACATTCCCACATGCATGTTAGAAATGGCCATTCCTGCCGGGGGCGGTGGTGGTACACGCCTTTAATCCCAGCACTTGGGAGGCAGAGGCAGGAGGATTTCTGAGTTCGAGGCCAGCCTGGTCTACAGAGTGAGTTCCAGGACAGCCAGGGCTACACAGAGAAACCCTGTCTTGAAAAACCAAAAAAGAAAAAAAAAGAAAAAAAAGAAATGGCCATTCCTCTTGCTCGGCTGCTATCTGCTTTTTATGCTTTCTGTATAAAGTGATGGCAAAATACAAGAGTAGAAAATGAAATCTCCAGAGTACTCTCAATGTTGTTTCAAGTTTGTTTTAGGCAAACAACTGGAGCCATTTAACGGTGGGCTAAAGCAGTGGAAATCCAAGTCAGAAGCAATTAGCGATGCATCATCCAGCTGCGACCTATCAAAAGACAGCCATTTTCAAATCACTTTTGGGTGGGAAAGAGAGGGGGTAAGGGAGACGGGGTCTTATCATATAGCCTTGTCTAGCTCAGAACTTGTTCTGTAGACCAGGCTGGCCTCAAACTCATAGAGATCTACCAGCCTCTGCCTTCTGAGCACTGGGATTAAAGGCATGCACCACCTCTCTGGCCTAAATCACTTAAAATGCCTAGTTGTAAAAGAATGGAATTCCTTAGACAAGAAATAGCTGCCTAGTTAGCTGCCCCTTCAGGGTTATTATGCCGAGCCATCTCAGTTAAATGGCTACATTAGTGAATGCGTTCCCAGTAATAGGGCAGCCCCGAGGCTAATCCACATCAACTACAACAATAATCCTGTCTCTCACCTAGTCATCATAGTTGAGGTAGGTTATGCGACTTATGGTACCCATGTTAGGAGACAGAAAAATGAGAGGGTTTCAGTGAACCAAGGTCAGTGGCAGAATCAAAACCCAAATCCAGGCATGGCTTTGTAGCACACACTGTTAGCCTTATTTCTCTTTATATGTTCAGCCCATGGATTCCTTAGCCTCTGTGATTATGGCATAAGGGACTATCCAGTTGCTAGTCTATTCACCATCTTAATATAAACTTACCCATACATTGTATAAATGATAAAGTTTCCATGTTGAAAACCATCTTCAAATTTATCTAATAATTGTGCAGGTCAATCAACAGAGCCACAGTCATGAACTTGTAACAAAACTGGGACCGGAACCTGGCGTTCCCTCCACCACTCATGCATTGGATCAATGCATGCTCTTTACGCTGAGGCTGAGAATTGCCCTGAGGACTGGTTTCAAGTGTGTGGGTGCAGTGAATACCCTAAGTAGATGAGACTCCCTTATCTGCAACTTGTT